TTTTACATATTCTAGCATAAAGATGTATCATTAAATTGCCACTCATTTTAAGTACACTGTGGCAATTTAATGATACAAAAATAGGCACTACAGTTTTTAAACACTGGTTTGTACACAGAGCCTATGCTGCAACTATATATCCCATTTTGCTACAAGTTGAATTTTTAGTACTTTTTGAATGAAAGCCATCCTTGTCACAGACTTGATGAAAAAGTGCCTGCAAAAAGATCCAGTTTTGTTAATGGAAGTTTACTCGAGCACAGTTCCTGTCACATAGAAGTTCAGTAATAGATGTTGTAAAATAGATGCTGATTAACTTAATGATGGTTCGGAACAGTAAATCCAGATTTTCTGGGGTCAAACTGGAGCTTTGTCTTGGTGTCCACTTTAATCCAAAAACCTGGTGTAGAGAGAGCTCCAATTAGTTTCAGATTAGTTAAACTTGTTTTACAATCATAGCACTATTTAATCAGCACAATTAGAACAGTCTGTTTAATGAAATCTACTGCCTGTCTCCCAAATATTGAATGGTACGTACTTACACTAAAAAATTATTACCTGAAATTTAAATCTGTCTTACCGTCCTCTGTTTTTATTTGCTAAATCTGGTTCTCTGTGTGAATGAAAATATTGCTCTCAAACAATAGTTACTTTTAATGGTAAGATTGTAGAAGGACTTTATAATAGAGTACCAAACCAAATTATACACACACACACCTATTAAAGTTGAAAAGGGTACAAAGCTTTGATAACCATGGAAAATTAGTACTTTGAACGTTAATGCCTCTGTGGCTCATCATCAGTTTATAATTTCAGGTTTTTGCCTTTGAATGTCCATAGTTACTGTTCATTGTTTGCTATTTCATCTTTCCTGTTGGTTTTAAAATTGTGACTAAGTTAGATCCTCAACATTGAAATCAATAATGATATTTTTAGAATTTTATTCTCTAAGTGCTTATTTGATTGCACAGACATGAAATTCATTTGTTGTTTGCTTACAGAGCATGTGATATCATTTGCCCTTGTTTAAAATTATTTTAAATAATATGAACTCCATCTCCAATGTCACACAATCTTAATTGTCAGTAACACGATTTGTAGCCCTTCAAACTGAGTTGAGTTACTAGTAGGGTCAAAAGAAAGACTTAGTTCTGGCACTAAGTAAACAAGCTGGGAAAGAGAAAGGGAAGCTATGTTTACTGCAGTGTAACTAAGTTATAGTAATAAGATTTGTCCTATATTAAGCCTTGATGAATTAAAATACCTTCTCAGAGTCAAGTGGCCACTCATGGGAGATAAATTAACTCTCTTGGGACACTGGAGCATGAATTAGTGACCTGGAAGAGGCAATTAATCTCNGAATGAGCACTTGGCTTTTAGATTGCCCTCTATTTTTAGTTCCC